TCTTCTGCCTGTATACAGAAAATAAAGGTTCAAAAGTCTAGCTACACGTTAGAATCACCTGGGGACCATTAAAAAAATACTGATTCCCCAGGTCAACCACCCTAGATTGTGATGTAATTGCTTTGTGTCCAGAACCCAGATGCTGGTATTCTTCTAAAGTACCACCTCGCATGTGAGAACCCTGAGTTAGTGTTAGTTCCTTTTCCTATTCTATCATTCCTGTTCACATTTAATTTTATGGAATTTTTCACAAAATGATGCCTTTAATGTGACAGACAGATTAAGCTCAAAATTTACTTTTGTCTTCCAAAATAATCAGAAACACTCTTGACAGTAATTGCATTAAATCCTTAGGACTGAGCCCTATCCCAATACAATATAATGAAAGTTCCTCTTATTTTGTTGAAATTTCTTATCATGAACATTTCTGACTTACTTCATATCCATTTAATAGCAACTAAGTCACTACCCTATATTCTTTCCTTTTTTATGTAGCACCAAGTTTAAGTCCTCACTGCATATGTTCAAACAGATAATCTCTATTTTGTTCACGTGGCCTGTAGTTACATCTTGGAGAATTATATTTTCAGATGCTCAAGCTCATCGCTCCCAAGGGCTTGTGGGAGAAATACGTGTGCAAACCCAAAACTGAGGGAACGGAGACGAGACAATATAACTGAGGGTTATATTGTAGGGTACTTTAGAGAAATGATGATGCATTAAATTTTCAAGGCAGCAATTCATTTAAACAAATTCAATTAGCCAACTAGTAAACGTCTAGACATTTTCTATTCCCACTCCATATGCTCTCATTTGAGCAAACACATACACTTCTTGACACCTTCTACCATTGTTATGACAGCTGAATATTTGTATCTGACTCAGTTCCATTTGCTGAGCTCCAGACTCAAATGTCTAGCTGCTTATGAAACATCTCCATGGAGATGTCCCATTGACCCTACAAACACAGCATTTGCCATTTAAGCAAAATTAATGATCTTGTCTCCCCATATCTACCCACTTCTAACAACCTCCATCGTATTACTCCCAAGACAGAAACCAGGGACTCAAATCATTCTAGACTAATCCCTTTCTGTCATGCCTGACATCTACAGTGATATCTCATTTAAATCTCCCTATACCAAAAAAAAAAAAATTCTACATTCCTCAGTGCTGTTAAAATATCATACAGGAATGGGGGGAGATCTCCATCTCACCATCCCCATTGTCATTTTCTTAATTCAGACACTGCTCTTTGTTCACCAGAGTTATTTCAATTTTGTTTCCTAATTTTATCACCAATCATCTTATAAATCTTTAGTTTATCCTCCATGCTACTGCCCTAGAGATTTTTGCAATACATAAATTGAATCATGTCATTTCCAGATGAAAACCCTTTAAAGTGTCCCTGTTGTCTGTCTCGGGAAGCATGACCTCTTTAAGAAGAGGTCCAAGGCTCGTCATAACTCCCACTAGTTCTCCAGAATTCCTTTAGATTCACCTTATCCCCCACCGGTGCCCAAAGCTTCAGCCATACTAATTACTTCCAAATCATTCCTCTTTTTCCCCTCTTGGTTTCGTGACTTGAACCACTCTGTCTGCCTTGTTCCTCCAAAAGAAACCTATGTATGGTTTAACTCAGCTTAAGTGTCCCCCCTTACTCATAGCACCCGATTACATGTTTGTCTTCACCTCGTGCCTGCACGATAACGTGTACATTCTAGTCAAAGTACCAGTGCATTTTACTACATGTAGTTGCACCGGCCCATGTTGAAAACAGAAAGATATCCTTGTGTCAACAGAGCTTGAAAACTGATGAATAGAATGTAGACACTTCATAAATGTTTATTAGGTGAATAAATGATAAAATAGCCAGTTTGTAATGCCGATAAGGCTAGCTCAGCTGCTAAAATGAAAATTGTCACATCCAAGCATTTCACTGTCATGGCTGGTAAAGATGTGCAACATCAACCTTACCAAATTCAAAAAATTGCAGAAGTCAAAGTCTGCAGGTGATACAACCCAAGTTAATCATTTGGTGCAAGGGCTTTCTTCTGCCCATGAGGGCAGCGAGCACCTACAAAGGATAGGGATTTAAATTTAAAAAGCTCTTGGTTGTGGTTTCTATGTGCCTAGTATGTGTTCCCAAAATTATCTGAAACATACGTCTTCTAAGTATTTGGTGCCAGTTTGTAAAGAATTTCAAAAATTTGTTATCAAATAGAAATAGTGCTGAATTAGGAGATTATTCACTTAGAGTTCATAGAACAAACACAAACCTCTAAAGAAAAAAGACATATAAGAACAAAACAAAATGCATCTCTTCTGTTGGTTTTAGACATTATTTTGCTAGATTCTCAGGACAGAACTTTCTGGGATATAATTGTGACAGGGAGTGCTAGTGTTTGTGAATCATGGCTGTTGAGCCCTGGAGTTACTCTTCAGAAACTACAAAGACTTACTTCATTGCTGCATCTCTCCTGCTGTTATGCAGCAAAATAAAAACATGCTGACATTGACAGGAGCCAATTCAATAAAGATTTATTGAGCAGCTACTATGTGTAAAGCGCTGTGCTAAATACAGTAGAGGATAAAGAGACAAATAGGATGTTGCCCTTCACTTGGGAGCCTGCAATCTCAAGAGGCAGGTGAGTAAAAATTAAATCTGATGAAAGGCAGCATTTGCTGTGCTATTATAAGGAAACAAAGTGCTACAACAGCACTTTCTTTAAACCACAATTAAATCTTTACTTATTGGTAAAACATTCTCTGAAAACAATATGTCAGCATTTAAATTAATACTGGGGTGAGCAGAGGATTCACTAAACACAAAACAAAACGAAAATGGATGGCTCATTTCTCTCTTCCCTTGGTTGCCTCAAGCTTGCAGTTTTTTCTAATCTGGGCTAATTGAATGGTGGCGAGCCCCTGAAATAAGTGGAACCCCCCTACCCCGAAGTTGGCAGCTCAATAGCTGTGACTCTGTGGTTCTTCCTGAAAGGCCAGCACCACCAAAAATGGCAGAGTGGTTGGCACTCTGTGAAGTGATGTCATAGTTTTGCCACTGCAATGAATCTCTAATACTCTTTTAAAGTGTGCCAGTTCGGCCAGTTACCATCTGTGGC